ACATTTAACTAGTGTTTAGTCACAGTAACCTAGTGTGTTGTCACAACGACTATGAATGATGCAATTGTCAGTCATTGTAACTTTTTTATATTCAGCAGCACTAATGTGTTGTCACATTCCACATCCTATGACTACACAATAGTTACTAGCCATGAACCTTAATACTGTTAAACGTATCACGGGTCGTGAATCACTATGATGCAAGATGAATTAAGGTCTATTAAAAATCAATGAACTATATTTCTCAGTGTGTTGTCACAGTCATTTTCGTACCATTGTCTGTTTCTGCTGACATATACTTTTGTGTAGTCACGCATACTGCACAAGTATTTTTTTACTATTTGACCATCAACTCAAACAAAAAGGTGACTAAACACTATTGCACTACTGCTGACAATTTACTTGTGTAGTCACACAGACTGACATTTAACCACACCGGCTGACAATGATGCAATTGTCAGTTATTATAACTTTTTTTATATTCAGCAGTACTAATGTGTTGTCACATTCCACATCATGTGACTACACAGTAGTTACTAGCCACGAATCCTAATACTGTTAAACGTATCACGGGTCGTGAATCATTATGACGCAAGATGAATTAGGGTTTATTATATCAATCACTTTCATACCATTGTCTGTTTCTGCTGACATATAATATTTTGTAGTCACGCGTACTACACAAGTATAAAATCATAATATATGGTGGGTCATATAACATGTATTGCATATTATGTCTACTTCAAGAGCACGAGCAGGTGATACCACCCGTAGACATGAACCAGTATGGTTATTACAAGAGCGAGATGATAATTATAAGAGTGAGAGATTTTTCGATCCAAATGAGTATTATGCCGGACTCCTTCGAGAGTGAGTTTTTCGTGCTAATGAATCCCAGTCATTATGCACAGATCTAAGAGAATTTGGTATACCGGTGCCACATAGACTTTCACTTACCATGCCCTGAAGGAATAGAGTCAACTATGAAGCAGCAGTTAGACATGTATGAAAGGAGAATAATAGGGTGATGTTGCGTAAGTGCCGATATTATATGCTCCAAATAGCATCTGACATGGTGGCAACTGCATTTGGCAGGGAGATAACAACTATTGAACGATGTAATGTATTTTCTAATGAACAATACCTATCAGATGAGTATATGTCTGATGAAAATTAACAAATATAATTTGTGTCCACTTTATTAAGCATATGATGTTTATGTCTACGTCCTATTTTTTTTAATTAATATTGTTGTTTTATTAGTTTATGTAGTGTGTTGTCATATCTCAACTTTTTCATTGTCACATCCTATCATTGTCAAATTAGTTCTCAACTGTGTAGTGTAATGTCCTATTTACTTTAATCTATCTCGTGGCTTTATCAATCTATGAAGTGTGTTGTCATGTCCTACTTTTTTCACTGCCATTTTGCATCACTATCAAATCAGTTCCAAAGTATGCAGATTCATGTCCTTTCATTGTAATTTTTAATTGTCGAACCCAACATATATATACTACCGTTCACAATTTTGTAAATGGATCGCCACCAAACAAAATGTATAGGAGCACATCACATGTGAGTTCTTCTTCATGCAATGACCAAGACAGTTCATCTTCGAGTAACAAATGTGAACGCTCAACGGACAACTCAACATCGCTGAACAAAGTTCTTTTTATCGAATCATATATTGACTCCGGTGGTGTAACGTGGTATGGACGAAAACGTGCGTTTCGTAATAAGCTCATCGACCTTTATCACCCATTCGGTCAAGTTGAGTATGTAATTGTTGGCCTTGCAACTGATTATCCACCTTCAGGTGCTCATATCAAACTCATACAAAGATGACGACAGTTATATGACAAACGTTGTGACCTTGAAGTATTTTGTCGTTGGCATGAAATTGCAGTACCAAAGGCACATTCGACTGATATTTATAATTCACAAAATTCAAACAATCATGACGAGATCATTTCAATCCTTGAATGTGAAATTGATTAAATGCAGCGTCGTGTAGATCGTTTNTTACATTTTTATTGAACTAAAAAAAGTATATAATATTAAAAAATAACTCTTCAATACCATACTAAAAGCCTTGGATTAATTGCATAAATACAAGGCTGTAGATGGTGTGTTTTTTCCTACTATAATTGCAACGTTCTAACNACATGCCAAAATTTAAATTTTAGAGGATCCGTTACTAGTTTATGATTCTGAATTTTCTGATTTCTTTGATTTGGACGATGATGCGTCAGACACTTTTATCCCATCATGTTTATGTGTACTCGATAATCCTTTATGTTATTTTGAATATCAACCACGTTATTGACATCCTTTTTTTATATTTATACATTCTGAATAACTTATATTTTTTCACAGTTGATTAAACATTAATATCGACATGATCAACATTACAAATAAAATACAAACATTTTAAAATTATCACAATTTATTTATTAAATATAATTAAATTTTTAAATAAATAAAAAAACCTCATCATTTTAAAAAGAACGTGAGCAAAACAATTTTAGGTATCATTGTTAGAGTTTTTTATTAAACAAACATTTAACATTTTATTCAAAAAAAAAAACGTCAGAAAACCTATCACTTAATGACCGGTGTTCGATATTTTAAAATATTATTGTTAGTCAAAAACACAATTTACGATCATATTAAAATTGATTAGAATATCGATGCATTTGTAAAANTAGGACAATTTTAAGTACATTCAATGGTCTCAAATAAATTTATCAAACAATAACCAACATCTCTCTCAAAAATCTATAATTAAAGTAATTTTTTTTTAAATTAATCGATTAGTTTACATTGTATTCTGTTTTCAGGCACGAATCACCTTTTATAGATAACATTTGAGGTGACAATCAAGTTATATTGTGTCCGATTCATTCTATGTCAGATCAGATTATATTGTTCCAATAAATTGAATAATTTGAATATGACACGATTAACTAATAATGCCAAAATATCTAGCCTTGAGTACAAAACTCTTTCATTGCATATTATATACAATATTCCCGTGTCATATTTGCGTTCATGTCATGGAGTTGTCTATGGTACCCATTTTTTTTTTTGGTATCATACATTTATTTGTCACAATTGTGGATGCTTNCTTGAATTTTATCTCCAAGTTGGGTTGAAAGAAAATGTCATTGTAAAAAGTTAAGGAATAGAAATGTAAGGACAAAGGGGCTGAAAACGTCATTTGAGATGACGTCTTTAAAGACGCCAAAGACGTCATTTAAAATGACGTTTTCAGCCCTTTTGTAATCTTAACGTTNAGCATCCATAAAAGTGATAATTTTTTATACTGAAAAAAATAGTAAAAATAAAAACACCTACAAAAATAATAAATTACCCACAAAAGTGATAATTTTTTTATTGTAAAATAACTTATAAAATTTATAAAAATACCTATTAAAATAAAAAATTTAGAGATATTATACCAATTTTTTTTTTTTTTTTTTTTTTGTCGTAGTCAAGTCCATTTTATAATACGAACATGATTAGGTGCGATACAAATTCACTAATTTCATATTTTTTTTAATATTATTTGAATTAAATACCCAGAAAAGAGCCATATGACTACCCCCTCTTACACTCCTCGCAATCTGACTTCATATTTGATAACGCCTTGTCTATAAATGCAAGAATGACAATTTGCGATTATCACAGGTGCCATTCTTTCTCCGGTCTTTCCTTTAGCATAAAGGTCCAAATAGCCCAAGCGATACGCAAACGTTGATGTAAATGACTTGGGCTGACAACTATTTAATTAATGACTAGTCTTACAGNTTATGTTTAGAAACGTCACTCTGAATAACAACTTAAAAAACGTCATTTGGAATGACATTTTCAAAAAAAAAATTTAAACTTCAAATCGTCATTTCAAATGACGTTTTCAGGTGCGAAGGCGTCATTTGAAACGAGGTTTTTAAAAAAAGATTGAGTTTAAAAATTAAGTTTAAAAGTGACTGGTTTTGAGAATTAAGTTTTGAGGGGCATGGGTTTGGGGAAAACCTCTAGTAAATGTGCAAAATAATACGTTTGAGTTGAATTATAATATCACCTATTTTAATGGTATTAAAATACCTCCATAATACATGTCTAATGTATAAAAAATATACGATAATTATATGATTAGTATTCGTTTTTGAAATTAATACGATATCAAATTTATTTATCAAACAAAATATTAGACCCGATTAAATAAAATATAGTATAATCAAATATTTAATCCCTTCATAATATGTCTACCAAACGAGCTCTATAAATTACTCAGCCCCAATTTACATTTTATCTTTTTTAAATTTTAAACATTATCTCATGAGTAATGCTAGATAAACTTAAAAACTAAACTTAAAAATTAAACTTGATAATTTTAATCATTGAATATGTAGTGAGTCCCAATAAATACTGAGACCCATAATAAAATTAAAAATAAAATTAATGATTAAAATTATCAAGTCTATTTTTTAAATCTATCTTATCCCATTAAACACAGGGACTCTTAGTTCTTAGGCTGATATGGCGGTATTCTATTGGCCANTTAAAGATAATGCATTACATGTATTTTTTGTTGCTTTATTACTTATTAATATTTTATTATCTTTAAAATTAATAGTTATAAATTATTTAATTTAAAATTAATAATTTAAATTATTTTTCGACACGGTACAACAAGAAATATGAACAATTTGTAATTTTCTCCTTTTTCTTAGTCAAAGCCCTAGAAAACAAATCCCTCAAGACTCCAGTCTTTCATAGAAGCAACGTAATACTAGGAGAAATAGACAGTGAATAATCATTTATTATGACGAATGACTCTTTTGTATTATGGGAAAATGATAAAATATCCGATGAGGTGTGGAGAGAAAATGAGCTAAATAACACGTCACACCCGTGCAAGAGTGGGATTTTTTTATTATTGTTGTTTTGAAAACATGACTGGAACCCACATTTTTTAACTAANCGTAGTCCACATTCTCTCAGTTAGAGATTCTCTCTCTTCATTTAAACACACAAATTCTCGAAGTTTCAGAGATCAGAAGCACAATGAAAGGACTGAAAACTGCCTCCATAGCTCACAAGAAGCTCGATGCCGAGTACAATTTCTACTTTCTGATTTCGTTTTTACTGTTTCAGTTTCATTAGTTTCTTAAAATGTTGNCGATATTTTATAACAAAAAAGGTTCTAAAAGTTGGAAAGAAAATTGATAATTATTTTTAACAATGATTGGCTATTAACCTCTTTAATGAAAGATCCGACAGAATCAATTGTGACTAACTAAATTAGGTCTAATTAGTTTAATAAATGTCCACAATTATCAAACTATAATTCAAATTCATCCAAAACCTATTATTTCAAGTTTCAATCCTTCCCCAAATGAAGAAGCTTAATTTGGATAATACCATGCGGCCCAAAGAGTATTTTGGTATTGTTGTGTTCCTTTTTGTCCAATCACTTGCCTGCCGGCGAAGCATCAAGAGCTAGGTGCCGACCGACAGTCAGCCAAAAAAGGGCTAGCCGGCTTGCCGCTAGCTACAAGGGTCCCATGACCTTGCCAGGGCCTCCGCTAGTCGAGTCCTACTCGACCAGCGATCAACTTAAGATCTAGAATCATAGCAAAGTGCCACCAACAAGGAGGTACCCCGCAGACGCTCCCCTTTCTTGTCCATCTCCGTTAGACAAGTCTCATTCAACTAAGGTTTAACTTAAGACCTAAAAGTCAAATTGGATGCTATTTCGAATAACTAAGAGTTGATGATAAGGGCACTAGAAATAAAAGTGATAATCTAACTCTATCCTAAATATTTAAGAGTTGGTGATGAGGTCAATTATATCACACTTTAGAGTTCGAGTTCCTTTGAAACACTGTTTCCTATCACTATAAATAAAGATTTTTGAGTACCGTGTAATTCATTTAATTCTAACATATTCCCTACGCACAATCTTCAACTCGCTTTTAGACTTAAATATTGGAATCCCTTTGCCCATCTCCTACTATCGATTCACACAGGTATTCTCTTGTCTTGCAGATTATACAAGTTTTCTCACCGTTCATACGATATAGTAATTCAAGTGCGAAATTCTTCCCGCACAGGTATCGTACCAAAAATTATTAATTTTTAAAGTTAAGTTATATTTTAATGGTAAAGTTGTAATTATTTACAAAAATTTATGATCAAGCATGAATTATTTTAATTAGTTTCAACTTCTCTTTTACGAGTTTTAAATTGACATTTAAAATTTATAACTTAACTTTTAAAAGTTGTAACTTCTATTATCGAATAATATTTGAGCAATGCTATTGATTGAGACTTAATTTATTGACCTAATTTACTATATCATTTGGATTGACCGTGGACCCTATTAAACATTAGAATTAGTGTTGATCCAATGAAGTCACGTCATTAGGTCAGATTTTTAAATCCAAATAAAATTACTCATAACATTTGGGATCGATCATGTTTTTATAAGTTATAACTTATATCTCAAAAAATAATAAATTAAACTCAAAAAATTATAATATTTTGTACGATATAGTGTATTCTTCCTCTTCAAATTTTCGTAGCAGTATTTTTCTGGGAACTACAATTTATGTAGTGATTGTGGAATCATTTTTTTTTTGCATCAATACTATAAATTATCATCTCCTGGGTGGGCACAAAATATTCACTCCCACTGGGAATTTTCTTCCAACTACCAACATGTGAAAATTGTGGGAATGATATATAATATTGGATAAAAGATTCCAATTGTGCTCTCCATATTTCGCTTTCTCAAGCTTAACCGTTATTTGATTGGTACCCAACCTAAGAAAGATGCTTATTGTGTAAGCTGACTTTCTTTGAATGCTTAAACGTATCTTCATGTTATAGGAAAGATAATGCACGCCCTTACGTTTTATTCACTTAGTTCCGTAGTACAAGTCTCATACAGAGGCACGCCCTTGACTTATGAGTTTAGTACGGGTGTAATTTGGGTGGATTAACTCGATTTTAACCCGAAAAAATTAAGATTTGTGCTAGAATTTTTAATGCTTGAGTTAGACTTGGGTCAAAAAATCTCAACACGAATTCAATTTTGGTGCAGACTTAGGGTTAAGCCATCGTGAACCCGAATATTAAAATCAGGCTCAACCTGATTTAATATTGTATAAATACAATTTTATCCTAGGGTTAATCTCAACTCAAGTGTGCGCCTCCCTCAGACCCTCTCTCACTCTCAGCCTCTCTCAAGAATTTTGGTTGTGCAAAGGTTTTATTTAAGCAGTGAACTTTATATTTGTCTAAGGATTCTGGTTGTGTTTATTTGTGTTGTGTATGATTGTGGTTGCATTATCTCAAATATTGAGTTCTTAATATTATTGTTTTTATGTTAAAAACTTGATTGAAGTAACCCAAAATCAGTTCGTAAAATAACCCAAAATTAGTCCGAAATCATTAAATCGAATTCAATCCGAACCCGTCCGAATTAAACTCGAGCAGTGCTCGGGTTGAACTTCTCAACTCGAGGTAGGGTTAGGGTTAGGGTTAGAGTTAGAGTTGAAGATTATATACTTACGGTTGTATTAGAGTTGACTGTCTGATCCGCCCGAGTTGCACCCTAGAGTTTAGGCTAAATTTATTCTCTCTATTTTTCGCTCATATTTGAGCAGATAAAATATAGGTTTAGAGAAACTCTTTCCATCCACTTTTTCTTTCTCCTCCACTTTTCCTCTCTCACCAAACAATAAAAAATACTTCTTTCTTTCTTATTTTTCATCCTCACTTTTCTATCCACCCAATTTTCACTCCTACCAAATAGGGCATCAGATTATCACAGGCCCACCTTCGTCTCAGGTAATTTATCTCCTACCTGAGTAACTACAGAAACCAATAACAAAGGGTGGCTTCTGTGCTTTTTTGCTGTTCATTAACGGAGTTTTCGTCAATTTAATGTGTTATTCTCCAATAATTGAGAGTCAAGTTACAACAATTTAGGGACATTTATGATATATTTTAGGGTCGGCCATAAAATATTGATTGATGCCAAAGACCCAAAAAAATTATTACTTAACCTCAAATTATTGTTTTTAATTGAATAAATTTATATTTAGAAATGAATTTCAATGTAAACAGTGGAATGGAAAAATTGAAAAAAATAATTATTTTCAGTATTTAGTTCCTTAAATTGATTAAACAAGTTAATTCAATTAAGTACTTAATTTTTAGTGTTTACCAAATAATTTTTAAATTAAAAAATTCTGTATTCAATTTTCACTTTTTTATTTTTAATTTTATCAAACGGAACAGAATGAGATGAAACCATAATTTACATATTCNTGTTTACCAAATAATTTTTAAATTAAAAAATTCAGCATTCAATTTTCACTTTTTTATTTTTAGTTTTATCAAACGGAACAGAATGAGATGAAACCATAGTTTGCATATTCAAAATGCATTTTGGAAAGAAAAGAAAAGAAAAAGAAAAAGAAAGATGGTTTCATCTCACGCCGTGATGTCTAACGTCGTCTCTTTTTTCTTTGGGGTAAATAGTCTAACGTCGTTTTCTCATGTTTTTTTTACTACATGTTTTTGTTGTGCTACGTACCATTTTCCTTTTTTTCTTTTTTAATGGTGGGGAGCGACAAAAAAAAAAAAAATTCTTTGTCCTGGGTGGAAAAGTCTGAATTCATAACCAATCCGCTGGAAGTTGAGCAGAGAAACTAATGACGTCTATTTGTGAAGTCATTGTCAGCACATTTATGGCAGTCAGCATTTTCCATCTTTCCATAATTTTCCATTAATTTTTGGAATATTCACACATCTTTCTAAGAAAATTTATAACCATATTTATCTCGAGGTCTTTTTCATTGGACAATATTCATTAAGATTTTTTTTATATATATTTTTGAATTAATTACACAAGAGATCTTCAAAGTATAATATTTATCTAATTTTAGTCCTTAATATTGTAATTGCATCATTTTGATCAATGAAATATTAAATATATTTTTATTTAATCTTTCAAACAGACAATATTCAAATTACTAATGATTTTTATTTATAAACTTGTCACGTGATACTTAAATATGGATAAAAAATAATTTGAATATCTATTGACCAACATTTGGATAACTCATGATCAAACCTTTGTGATTTGAGTAACTCTTTGACAAATATCTGGGCAAAAATCAAAAATATTTTTTTGCCCATATTTGTGTATTACATAACAAATTTATAATAAAAAATCGGTAGTAAGATGTTATCTGCTTGAAAGATCACATTAAAATATATTTAATATTTTAGAGACTAAAATGATACAACTGAAATATTAAGATCTAAAATGAGATAAACCTTATTTTTTGAGACGTTCAGTGCAATTTACCTTATATTTTTAGTTGTATCGGGTGTGTTTTTTCATCCAGCCTTATATTTCTACTTTCTTGGTAGATATTTTCCATCCAGCCTATAAAATGTATCATTTACAAGTTCAAATATCCTTAGATCATTTTAGTAAAATAATAATTAGATACATTTCTGCTTTATTTTTCATTTCTACTTTATTGACCAAATTACTTTTTTATTTACTTAAAACAATTTACTTTTACAAGAGTGTTACCATAAGATATGTAAATTACTTTGAGGGTAAAAAATCACACTTTCTTTTTTAAATTAAATTGGATATAATGTTATGCCCCAAAAGAAAATTTCTAAAAGTCATTTTTTTTTTGTTTAACGGTCAGGGGTATTCGGGCCAATTTACGCGCATCTCTACTAACCCTCTTCTCGATCTTGTCTAAGACACAGATCATTCATATAGAGACTAAGTCTAGTTCATATATGTTCCATCATGTGATGTGTATTTTCTAACTCTATATTGTTGGACTCCAAAATAAGGGAATTGCTATTTTTTAGGGAATGTGTTGCTCTCATACTCCTAATTCTCAAGCCAACCCTCATAATTCTTTAACCAAAGTCATAGAGCAAAGAGTCTTCTTACAGAGCTGGGGGAGGGAATGCCCAAAGGTTGGCTTTGGAACTAAAAATCAAGCAGCCAAATACTTTCAACCTTTACTCAGTTAAAATTAACGTAAAATACCTTCGAAGCGGACATAGACCTAAATTTCTACTAGGAGTAGTCCTGAATTCATTATGTTAGAACCAAATATACATCTAAGAAGGGGGAATCTCACTTTACACCTTAAAATTTAGGATTTTTTATTTTATTTCCTCAAAAAATAGATCTTTCAATGTATTAGAAGTGTAGAAAGGTAACCGTTTCAATAGCTTTTGTTAATTATTTTGTCAAAAAACATCTTATTGACATTGACGGAATGAGTAACGAAAATTGATGTAGAGACCACATTGCTACACATTTAATATATTTAGAGTACAATATGAAAAAATTAAATTTTAAGGGTATAAAATAAAAATTATATTTTTAAGGGTACAAAGTGCAATTTGCCCATGAATTGGTTGTTGGACAAGCAATTATTGTTTCTGGTTGCGCCGTTGTTTCTGCAGAATGATTAGTTACCCCAACAAAAAAAAAAAAATAGAAATGCAGAAATATGATACTCATGTTAACCCAACGCACAAACTAATCCTAGGTGGTCGAACCTTATGCGTGTAGGGTCAAATAAGTATACAAAATTTTTATGGCTATTTTATATTTTATTCAATTTTTATGAAATACTAAAAATTCTTTTATTAGTTTATCTGATTTTTTACAATAGGCAATCAATAAAATCAAATATAATCGAAATATACAAATAATTAAAAATTTAAATACCCCTAATCCTAAATTAGGAAATTGAGGTTGGTGCTAGAGCTTCTTTAGATACATAGAACTCTATACAGAGAAACCCAGCTAAGTTTTCTTAGAATCCCAAAAAAAAAAAAAGAAAACTAAGTTTTCTTAACTTTAATCGAATCAAATATATTTTACATGTCATATGGTTGACAAAGAGCCCACGTGTTTCAGTCAGAGAGTGGGCCCCACAGTAGGGCCACTCCCTATGAGTTATGTCTTGGGCCCATCACATAATGTATGTCCTGACCAATAAAACAGGTTTTTAAATTTATATGGTTCAAGTGGATGATCACGACCATCCGATCCAACTCTCCAATCTCCAACCTCCAACTTCCCCATGACTTTGTAATACTATACAAGTTAAATCTCTCACTGTCTTGCAAAGCACAAAGCTTTATTTATTGAAGTGGATCAAAAATCTTAAAAGAACGATTCTTTACTGATCTTGCAAGACTGTTCTGGGCTCTCTCTCTCTCTCTCTCTCTCTCTCTCTCTCTCCCCAATACATATTTGAGAAATTTTCGGTTCTGCTTGTGTATATATACATGGACTCAAACTGTTCCAAGTTCCAGCCATAGATGAGCTTCAGGTAACCTCACTTGTCACTCTCCTAACAACTTATTATGAGTATCTGTATCATTTATTGTTTATTCAGCATATGGGTTTTCAATATAGTTGACTAAAGACTCTGTCACTTGTTTTTTCTTCTTAATTTTTGGACGATGCTCGTGGGAATTCAGATATTCATATGATTAGTGCACAGGAAGTGCCAATCTTATTCGCATTTTAATTATTTGGAGTTGTAATTAATTCTACTATGTTTCAATGTTGTTTAGTGCAAGTCCTGTTGATTCCCATGTGGGTTTCATTTTATCTAAGTTGGTTTAATTTGGATTTTATGTTTCACAGTAAAATTCTTGTATTTTTTTTGTCTTCTGGATTTGAACCTTGGGTTCTACCTTTGTTTTCTGATTGGTCTATCAAGTTCTAGGATTCTTTTTAATCTCTCTCTCTCTCTCTCCAAATTCTGTTTTGTAGGCTTTGTTGGAATGCTGTATCTGTAAACAGGTTTTGGAGTTTCTTGAATTTGAACCAATGGTAAGCTGAGCTGAAGAATCAATTAGTGAGTTTACTAGCTGTTTTAGAGATGGAGACCCATGTATTTGTTAATGGAGCATTGCTTTTCTTAGCTCTTTGGATATGGGTTCCCATAGAAGTCACTTGTGGAACTGGAAATGCCAGTGTTTCTTCTTCCAAGCCTAGGGTTGTGAATGTTGGAGCTTTGTTCACATTGAAGTCAGTTATTGGGCGATCGGCTAAGCCGGCGATCATAGCTGCAGTTGAAGATGTTAATTCTGATCCAAGCATTCTAGCAGGGACAGAATTGAACCTGATTATGCATGACACCAATTGCAGTGGATTTTTTGGAACTGTTGAAGGTAATTTCAGAATACAAATATACGTTCTGTTGATGAACTTCTATTGCGTCTGTTTCAGATCTTGAGGGTAATTTCAAGAATACAAATATATGTTTTGTTGAAGAACTTCTATTGCCTCGGTTTTGGGTTTTGAAATGCCCTGCATTTGGTAGTGGGGGAAATCCTCTTATTTTGTAGCTTTGGGGAATATAATTTACTCTCTACTGCTATACAACATATCTATTTTATAAAACATAGCAGGTTCTAAAGGGCAATTTCAGTCTTTTAATTTTGAGCAGTGAACGGCTTAAGCTGTTTTCTTCACATAAAACTGGTATTGCATTTCAACTGCCTTGTTTCTGGAGAGCATTGAGAATCATGTTTGTGCATACAGGGTTCATTAGCAATTACTTGTAACTGCTAGACATTCTGATTCAACTATGTTGTTGATGCATTTTTTTCTTCATCAAACCCCTCTAAAGAAAAGAAAAAGGGCAAAAAACAGAGAAGGAATAACATTGCAGATGTATGAAAATAGTCTTACCCCGTTTGCCTCGATAAAGGATGAGTGCTTATGAATAGTATTTAGCCATAATTTATGTGATTACTAAATGATACAATATCTTGCATAGGGTTAATTTTTTGTTTATCCTTGGTTGACCTGGATCTTTTTGTTATTTGTTTTTTTTTTTTTTTTTGAGATTTGCTGGCTTGAATCTGCTTGTTATTTTGTTCTTTTGATGTGATACATATCTGCAGCATTGAGTTTTCATGCTACCTATAGCTGTGTCTGATTTTTTTGTCTTAGTGATAAGATTGTGAAAAGATTAATTTCAAGCAAGATCATTCTGAAGTTAATAAATTAGCAGAACAACATGCTATGATGATGAATTAGTTTGATACACAGCCTGAGTTAGGTAGAGAACTGACTTGGAAGGGTAGTAATTTTCGTAATCTTTGCCTTTGGTATTAACCAGACATATGGACTTCTGCTAGAATCACAAGAACCATAGTTTAACCAACTCAAAGATAGTAAAGAAGAGGACTCCGGCAGTTCACCTCCAAACCTATATCTGTGGTATCTTTAACAACAATGAATTTCTTGCATATTACCAACAGCCTATTCCAGTTAACACAGATGAAAGTTAGGTAAAGATTGTTTTATGAACTGCTCTCTCTTTCTCCCTCTCCCTCACTCTGTGTGTGTGTGTGTGCATGCATGGCTATGTGTATACAAATGGAGTATAAAAAAATAAAATTTTGACAGGACATCCTTTCTCATGTAGCTTTACAGCTGATGGTGAATGATGTGGTTGCTGCAATTGGTCCACAGTCCTCTGGAATAGCACATGTTATCTCCCATGTTGTGAGTGAACTTCATGTTCCACTCCTGTCATTTGGGGCAACAGACCCCTCCCTATCAGCTCTGCAGTACCCATATTTTCTCCGCACTACACAGAATGATTACTTCCAGATGTATGCAGTAGCTGATCTGGTCGAATATTATGGATGGAGCGAGGTAGTTGCCATCTTTGTTGATGATGATTATGGCAGAAATGGTATTTCTGTTTTGGGTGATGCGCTCGCTAAGAAGCGTGCCAAAATTTCTTACAAGGCTGCTTTTAGTCCCGGAGCCGTAACAAGTGACATCAATGACTTGCTAGTTGGAGTAAACCTGATGGAATCTCGTGTTTATGTTGTACATGTAAACCCTGATTCTGGTCTTACAGTTTTTTCGATAGCCAAAAAACTTGGGATGACGACCAGTGGTTATGTTTGGATTGCAACTGATTGGCTTCCCTCTCTTTTAGATTCCCTGGAATCAGTTGATCCAGACACTATGGATCTCTTACAAGGGGTTCTTGCACTTCGTCATCACACTGCGGATTCTAATCTCAAAAAAGGTTTTACCAATAGATGGAAAAGTTTAAAAGATAAGGAATCATCGAGCTTCAATTCTTATGCACTCTATGCTTATGATTCCGTGTGGTTACTGGCTCACGCTCTTGATGTTTTCTTCAAAGAAAGTGGAAATGTCTCTTTCTCCTTTGATCCCTATTTGCAAGACACCAATGGAAGCGCATTGCACCTAACAGCACTCCGCAATTTTGATCAAGGCCAGAAATTACTCCAGATACTAACTAGAACAAACTTCACTGGTCTGACTGGTCAAATTCAATTTGACTCGGAGAAAAATTTAATACATCCAGCCTTTGATGTTCTCAACATTGTTGGAACTGGGTTGCGCAGCATTGGTTATTGGTCAAATTACTCTCATCTCTCTGTTGTTGCTCCAGAAATTTTATATACGAAACCCCCAAACATTTCTTCCAGTAATCAACGTCTTTACAGCGTAATATGGCCTGGTGAAACTACAGCAAAGCCTCGGGGATGGGTGTTTCCCAACAATGGGAGGCCTTTGCAAATTGCAGTGCCATATCGGATTAGTTATAAAGAATTTGTAACTAAAGGCCAGGATCCCCCAGGGGTGAGAGGATACTGCATTGATGTCTTTGAAGCAGCAGTGAGCTTGTTGCCTTACCCCGTGCCTCGTACATACATACTATATGGAAATGGTCAGAGAAACCCTTTATATAGCAATCTTGTGTATGATGTTTCACAGAATGTGAGTATGTTCTCTTAAATTAAATAGTTCACTTAGCTGTGATATAACCTATCGGCTGCATAATTTAGTATTGTCTATATCTTAGTTAGCTTTGTTCTTCAGAAATTTGATGCAGCTGTTGGAGACATTACAATTGTTACAAATAGGACAAAGATTGTGGACTTCACACAGCCTTACATGGAATCTGGACTTGTCATAGTTGCTCCTGTCAAACAGATAAAATCTAGTCCCTGGGCTTTCCTCAAGCCATTCACTTGGGAAATGTGGTGTGTTACTGGGGCATTTTTTCTTTTCGTGGGAGCCGTTGTTTGGATTCTGGAGCATCGGACGAATCAGGAGTTCCGTGGTACACCAAGGCAACAACTTGTAACAATCTTTTGGTTAGTATTCTTCAACGAGTCGATTGTCCCTCTGAATTATGGACCCACTGTATTTCTTACGGGCAGATTTCCCTTTCACCTGGCGTGTGGCTTTAAGAGCCCCTTGGGATCCTTCCTCATCAAGAGAAGAGATCCTCATGTCTTGCGTGGATATCGTATCACTTCATTAAGCATGAGGCCTTATTTGTTAAACATTGCATATGCAGTGCATCTCATTCATATTACATATGCCACTTGGATACAAACCTGTAAAGCCATTTTTGAGGATCAAACTAACAAATTTAAAGTTGACTCTTGGACGTACTTGTTTAGGATTTATTGGCAACTTTCAATGGTCTTTTCATGAGATAAATTTCTATACTGAGGAGCTCTGGCTTGGTCCTGGGAACCTGAGGGAATGCCTAACAAGCAAGTTGAGATAGTAATTTGGGCTGGCATATGCCTTGGCTCTTGTTTCTAAACTGAACGACTTTTCTTTTGCATGTGAAACTGCTCGGACTAAGATACCTTTTAATTTTGCAGGTTTAGCTTCTCAACAATGTTTTTTGCACACAGTACGTAAATCTAGCCTAATCTCCTATCATTCTTCTTTGATTTTCTTGATAGTTTTATTGTGATCAAAGTCCATGATTGAGAGCTCCTAAAACTATTCCCTGATTGGATTCAATGCAGGAGAGAACACTGTGAGCACTTTGGGACGCATGGTGCTGATCTTGTGGCTCTTTGTTGTTCTGATTATCAATTCAAGCTACACTGCCAGTTTGACATCAATCCTCACAGTGCAGCAGCTGACTTCACGTATTCAAGGGATTGACAGCTTGATCTCAAGTAACGACCCAATTGGAGTTCAGGATGGATCATTTGCATATAACTATCTGGTTGAAGAGCTCAACATTGCAGAGTCAAGGCTCCGGATACTGAAAAGCCAGGAAGATTATGTTAATTCCCTTAAGCAAGGTCCAAAAGGCGGTGGGGTTGCTGCCATTGTTGATGAATTGCCTTATGTTGAGCTATTCTTGTCCAATGCCGATTGTGTATTTAAGGTTGTGGGACAGGAGTTCACGAAGAGCGGATGGGGATTTGTAAGTACTTTTTCAGCATAAAACCTACATGAGTAGTAACTACAAGACTGCAACTATAACTGATATGGTCTGCATGGCTACTAAACAAACCTATGGGATGGTGCCAATTTTCCTTTCTTATACTAGAGCGAATTTTATAACGAACATTGAAGTTGATGGGTGGGAAAAAAGTTGGTTGTGGGGTTCCATGAGAGAGAGAGATTGGAAAATATACAATTAAACCAATCCTTATTGTGCTGGCCTCATTCTTGATAAATTCACAGCAATATCCAGTATGATTCTCATGTTTTGTCCTTTTACGCAGGCGTTTCAGAGGGACTCTCCTCTTGCAGTTGACTTGTCAACTGCTATCCTTCAACTCTCGGAGAATGGTGATCTCCAAAGAATTCACGATAAATGGTTGTCTCGTAAGGCGTGCTCTGCACAGGTAAATCAAGTGGATGATAACCGGCTCTCTCTCAAGAGCTTCTGGGGTCTCTTCCTTATCTGCGGCATTGCTTGCTTCGTTTCTCTTGTCTACTTCTTCTATAGAGTGTGCATGCAGTACCGTAGATACAGCCCAGATGGCGAGGTACAGGACGTTGAGGAGCCTGAATCTGCAAGGTCAAGTAGACGTACCAATCGAAATCCTAGCTTCAAGGACCTAATTGTTTTTGTTGATAAGAAAGAAGCTGAGATAAAGGAGATACTTAGGCGTAAGAGCAATGATACGAAAAGACAAGCTGGCCAGAGCTCAGATGGGCAGTCTAGCTCACCTCCCTGAGGAAAATTTGCTTTTCGGCTGGTGTTTTCTTCCAATGCCCCTTCCCTTGTCAAAGCCTTCTCAATCTATGTTCATGAGGTAATGAATCCATTCCATGGCTATGATAAAGAGTAAGCTAGGGAAGGTATACTGAAACCATACCATGACTATGATACAGAGAAGCTTGGTTAGGAGATCATTAGTTTGCGTAATGAAGTGATGTCTGTGTTTTCAGGATGTAAGAAGTTAACTCCAAAATTTTGGGTGAATTACAAAATCTATCACAGAAGAAAAGGATTCCTTGTGCTTGTTGGCTTCTCTTTCTGACATTTTTCATGTGTCACTACATTAATAAGAGTAGGGGTGTCAATTGAGTCATCTTACGAGAGTAATAATATGTGTAGGGAAAATTCCATTTTGCACCCTGAAAGATACCACGATTCCCAATTTGAACCCCAAAAGTTCGATTTTCCCTTGTTGCACCCTAATTCATGCAAATTTGTTGCAATGTGATACATGAACAAACGACCACTTAAAATTCTGTCTATTGTCGTCAGTGCACGTGCGTGAACAGCACACGGGACATGGAGGGGTATTGGTGTAAAAATAACAAAGAAAGAGATCTGGTTATGGACATGGACGGCTACTGAACAAAACATGGAGGGTGACTGAACAGATCAAACGACACTTGTTAGGGCAAAGAAATTCAAGATAGAAATTTTATAAAGAAAATCACGTTTTTTAGCACCAAAATTTGTTGTTTTTATACTAATGCCACTCCATATCCCGTGTGCTGCTCATGTGCGCTGAAAACATGCGATATTTTCAAGTGGTAGTTTAGTTGATGGACCACATTGCAACAAATTTGTATAATTCAAGGTGCAAAGTGAGATTTACCCATATGTATATCAAATATTTTACCAGTATTGGTAGTTGAATTAAAGGGCCTTACTAAAAGAAATGAATTGTACTACTGGTCCGACTAACCGGATTTACTTTGTAAGCAAAATTTAATAAAAGAATCGATAAGAATAGCACTATTGCGCCAATAATATCGGCCTTCCTGGAAGAAAATGATTTATTTGGACTTCGGCGAATAATATCGAAATGGCTGTTAGTTCCTATGTGCAAATCTTGTCTTGAACTTGAGGATTCCCGAGAGTCGGAGATTGTGAGCATCTGTATTGAATTTTACATCTATAAAAATTAAAGTTTTTTGAGATAAGTTTTTTACGGCGATCAGGAGTGACTCAAATCATTTTGAGGTTTAAAGCGAAAATATTGAATGAAGGTTTTTTCTTATTTTTAATATTATTTAAAAATAAATTAATTTATTTTTAATTTTTTATGTGAGAGGGAAACAAAATAAGGATGTATTAATATTGTCGAAAAAGAAATTTTAACTTTTGTTTTTATTTTTTACCATAGAGAGGGAGAGATAATGTTTAATTTCAATTTCAATTTTTGTTTTTATTTTTTATTTTTTTTACCCCAGAGAGAGAGAGAGTGAGTGGAAGTAAATATGAGTTGACTTTTGAATATTTTTTTAATTTCTAAGTTTTTAATGTTATGGATTGAATTATAGGCTTAAATTATTACAATAAAAATTTTGACTGGATTTAATTTTTGGGGGCTTTTTTGTATGACTTAAAATTTAATAGATTTAATTTTTTTTGTGTACTAATGATACACCTAAAATTATGGGCCCTTCTAAAAATTTGAGGCTTAAAACCCATACTTTTATTTCATACTGTTGGGCCGGCCCTCTCGGCGACAATGTTCCCCGGTTTTAGAGAATTTTTTTTTTTGGTAGCATAGGGCGTTTATAAAATATTTATTTATTATTATAAATATTATTTAAGACCGGTTATTACCGACAGCTACAAAGGTTTTTTAAGATTTTACTTATTACGGGAAGAATTTTTTTTATGGCGAGTCATTTGGTATATATATAGAGCCAACCTTTCAGGATTTATTTTGTAATTAATTTATATGCTTTTCAATATCCAAACCAAAATCTTCCATCATTCAACTAACATTATACTTCAATGATTTTAATACTATAGGTCCTATCCTTTAACAAATTTTCAATGGGGTGGACCCCAACAGATAAATAATTGACGGAAAATTAAAATATACGGAAAATTATACTTAATGCCCTCTTTGTTTAATGAAATTACACCATGTCCACTTGAAAAAGGAAAAACGAACAAAAGTCCGGTGCAACTTTCGAGTCAATAGATCTAAGCAAACACTCTTTTGTGGACAGAAAAATAAACTGACACAGATAAGATAAATCTACCCATAAAATAAGAGGTATTTTGTATACACGCTTGTGAAACTATACTTCATTGAAGATAGTGGTCTTCATGGGTCGGGTAGGTCATGGGTAGTATAGGCTCAAATCTTTACCTAAGTGAGTTATTGGGCGGGCCGGACTTTGGATGGAAGTAGGTTACCTGCGAGCCTATTGAGCGGACATGCTCGCGGGCTTTTTTATATACAACTTTATTTAAAAATAATGAATATTTTCGTAACTTAATATTTTTGAATAAAAAATAGAGTCAAAATAGAAAAAAAATAAAATAATGAATAATTTTATTTTTAATTAGAGGATTAACTACATCCAATAGAATGAATATATC